TGGTGACGTGGCGAGTATTGAATATTCAGTCTATGGGATCCAGGAACTCTAGCTGCAATGAAAACCCACTAATGTATCGTGAAAGCTGAGCTAACACGAAAGACACACAAGCTGGTCAGTATTTGTGTAAGTTACATCTATATATATAAAAGAAAGTCGTGTTAGTTACACTATTTGTAACTCAAGAACGCCTTAATCGATTTGGATGAAAATTGGCAGGGAGGTAGCTTAGAACCAGGAGACGGACATAGGATACTTTTTATAGAATACTTTTTTTTACTTTTTACAGAAAATCACGAACGGTAACGGGGGGAAAATGGGATTGCGCGTACGAAGTCGCGGGCAGAAGCTAGTTATTGAATACAATAATGATAAACCGAAAATAATAAGAATAAGAGGCCATAGCAGTCAGCCTAGTGATGACAAACTGATAAGTTATTCTCAAGAATCTGTTATAAATTTACCTATCTGTTACTATTTTTTTAGAGGGGAAAATCATCGAATGACTGCTCCCGCCTGGGTGAGGAGAGAGGAAGTGTCAGACTCTTCCTGACTAAAAACCACCCCGTTCCTACTCCTGCACTTCGAACCGGTGTCCCGGCACATCCTATCTGCTCCTAGGTATAGAATTTGGAGATTGTCCGTTTAGTCAGCCAAGCAATTTTATATGCAGGTAAGAAAATAAGGGTTCACTTCCTGTATTCCATGGAACTAATCACATAATTGATGATTGTGGGTGTTACAATTAATATAGGTATCCACATCATCAACAGCCTATAAGTGGCCACTGCTGACAAAATGCCTCGTCTTCTCCCACGTAGGTATAGGTTCGAGAATTAATTACCACCCTTGCTCAATACGGGTTGGCGATTTCAAACTAATAGCAATAGTTAGAAATTATAAGTCCAGGTTCACTCACGATCTTTTCCTTCACTTCACCCTTTGTCAGTGGAGAAAAGAGGCTTTTCTCAGCAGTGGGCATTAATAGGCTATTGATGTCTAAATAATCTTAGAAGGTACATATAATTTTAAGCCGGTGACGCACTTGTAACGCCTCTGGTGTTCCAGGTGTCCATGGGCGACGCCGATTGCTTACCATCAGGTGATTCGTCTGCTCGTTTACCGGCTTATGCCACAAAAAAAAAAAACTGAAAAAGTCATATTGGTACTTGACCGTTGGTTGGTTTCGAACGCGTACGCTCATGTATGAGAACCGGGCGCCTTAGATTTCGCGGGCGCATTTCTTCTTTGTCCTAATCTGTTATGAAATAAAATCGATGGCTAACAATATCAACCTTCCTTGCGTTTCCCATGTGAAATCCATGTGGTTCGTCCACGACGCCGCCGTCATAATACAGGTCAAAGTCAAAGTCAAAGTCAAAGCATTTATTTCAATTAAACCATAGTTTGGTACTTTTGAAACGTCAACAAATACAAAATAAATAATAGTCTGTCAGTCAGTCCGTCAGTGAAGCTAGGTGAAGCTAGGTGCTCATTCCAAAACGTAGATTCGAATGGAGAAGAACGAGCAAGAAACTCCATTCGTTACTCTTTTAAAAAAGTATGTTCTACAATGTCTCTGATACATATTTCAATACTGTACGCATATGTAAGAACAATGCAAAGACACGCTTGACACATTATACTAATAACTTACTAAAATAAAAATAATAAAGATCTTAAGTCTAACATGGTGCTCACATACGCATACTGACAATCCATAGAAATAGTGCTTCTATACAAGAAAAAGGAAACTCTTTGTTTCAATAAAGAAAGAAATGCTCGATGCCATAAGGAAACTAGATTGTCTACATTAGAATTAAAGTATTAAATTATGTATTATATTACCTACTATTGGAATTTAACTACTGACTACATTTGAGTATTGTCCAGTGGAGCCGAACCAACATGCTGCCAAGCATTCTTATCTTCAAGATAATCTGTCAGTGTGTAGTAAGCTTGATTACATAATTCGCGCTTAAACAGGAAAGAGTCAAACTGCTATCATTAATCACAATCGTCATGTCCATCGTAAGATGTTCACTGCTTAATCAAAAGTTAAGCTGTAAATTGTCTGGTCAACCGTTGTGACTTCACATGGCATGGCAACCAGGACTGATGACATTTTGACACCGTTGGACATTTTGACCCTGAACCATTGGTTCCTGTAAACACGTACCCACTTATATTTCCTTATCTTTCTTGCTAGAACTCAAGTCCACGTACTTGGAGGCGGCGATGGTGTCTGCTGCAGCAGGTTGCAGTGCTACTTGTACAAGATTATGGTGAGGGTAATGAAGTCTCTTCAACCTGGCCGTACTTTTTACTGAAGATGACCAGCGAAGTCCTATTTATTTGTGAAGGTACGATCACATTTCGCGCAACATAGCTATCCTACCAGAGTCCCAGCGTACCTATGTCATTAACTTCACTGTCGTAAGTTGACTTCTATGGAGGTTTGTACATATACAAGATGTTATTGAACGAACTTAAAGGCGGTGCTGGTCCAGGCCGTGAAATGAAACAGTTTTAGTTTTAAAACTTTTAGAAATAAAAAAATCATAGAAATTGACAAGAATTTTTTTACGGAATTATTTTGTATATCACTAGCAACCCGCCCCGGCTTCGCATGGGTGTAATATGCATGTAGGTATTATACATATAAACCTTCCTTAAGAATCATTCTATTTATTAAAAAAAATCCGTTGCTAATTTCAAAGATCTAAGCATACATAGGGACAGACAGACGGCGGATAGCGTGTTTGTTTTATACTATGTTGATATTCCAAAAGTACCTGCACTGTGAACTATGTCGTTTTTCTATTGACACAACGTAAGCTTCACACTTGGCAGAAATATACAAATGAGCTCATGTATTGTATAAAACAATTAAATACTTAGCCTTCGTTATTTAAGCTCGGTGCATACAATGAAATTCTACGGGAGCTTCTTGTCGCTTCCGACCGGCCAGGCTGGAACTCATCGGCTGAGCAGAGATCTTCCGCAGTATACAATTGGGTAGTTTCCAGGGTGTCAAAATTAAAAATCTAATTAGTCCGTCAGTTAGAAAATGAAAAACTTTAAAATGCTAAAGGCTGATTTTTCCAACGCCAGATTTAAAATTAACTGAGAAATGACTTTGAATAATTGACAATTCTTCCATACCTACTAGAAACTGTCAAATTACAATTTTATTTTACAGTTGGGAATTAACTGTTGATTGAAAAATCGGCCCTAATTAAACTGTCAAACACCAAGCGGTCACCGGTGACCGCAACCTATTGTTCTATAATTGTGTCTACAAAACCGGTACTCGACGAGTTAAGTAATATGAATTATATATTTTGATACATAAACCGAATTGATGGATTAGGCTTCAAGCTCTCAACAATAGACACAGCACAAACAGGAAGGTAGAAAATTAGGAAGGTATTTACGTAAAGGGCAATGCTCAAAAATACATAAGTATTATTATTGTGGTTTTGGTGAAAAATGTACAATGTGATTTGTGAACCATATTGTACATTTTTCCTAATTTAAAGCTGCAAAAGCGGTTTACTACTTTTTAAATATGATTGCTGGATATGAGATACCTACTGGAATCTAATCTTGGAATTTTGAATTACGAACAGTAGAAAATCAATATTATTAACCTTCGAATAATATAATGGACCGATATCCCAATAACAGTACACAGTCGACGAAATGTGGATTTAGTACAATTACAAGATTATTTGGAATTGAAACATATCATACAAAAAACCTAATTTAAAAAATGAATAAGTTACGCCACTGCAACCACTGCTAAGGCGATAAGTCAAATAAAAAAGGGCTAAAGCAAGATTAACAATCTAATATCTATTAATAAGAATTTATTCTGATCAAATTGCACTATAAAACGCTGCAGCATTTAAAGCGGGGATAAGAGGATTTGTATTAAACATTAAAACTAATTATGTATGTGGCATTGTCAAAGAATATCTACGTAGATTAGGCAGCTACGTGAGCGTAGCATTCGCAGTGTCATAAATGTATTCGAAATGTTTCATATCGATATATCTGCGAGGTTCGGGTTTAAAAGGACACCCTTAGAAAAGGTCAGTAGATAAAATAAATATGTATGTGCACATTTTTTTTTTTCAAAAATGGAACTTGTTTGTTTGGCTTTTATTTATTCTGTGGTAAGATAATTTATGAGTTGAGATTTTTTTTTATAATACACAATATTGTATTTGATATCAATTCTATTGTGTACTTACCTATGTATATTTTAAAAATATTGAATTAAGTATTTGTATTTAAAATTATTACATTAATTCCTTAATTATTAATTTGATATGAACATTTAACTTTTAATTTAGTACTGGTCTGTTTCTCCAGGCAGAAAAATGGAACATAAAAAAATTAAAAACAAATGAAGGATAATATAATCACACACGAGAAGTTTGTTGTTTCACTTTTGTGTATTTTTTAAATTTTAAAGTAATTAATTGCATTAAGGACTTACTTAATTTATAATGTGTGCTGCACTTTCTTCATTGTCTTGTAACTTTTTTGTAATCACTAAAAGGTAAATCTCTTTTATGTTGCCTACCCATGTAACTGATAGTGAATACCTTGTAGTTTAAAAAGGTCTAAATTGGTTTCATCGGAAGTACTTACTGAAACCCATTGCTAATATTAATTGGGTCTGTTTTTGATATTTTTTATTTATTTGCTTAGATTCGTAGGTCTCTCCATACACATGTTTATCATATTATGTAGAAAGAATCTTCTCAATCTGCGTATTCGAGTATCTGTAACTTTCTTATCATAGGACACTATTTTTATTTACTTACGGTAACAAAGAAAGTCATTCTCGTAGCATAACTATTTGTAATTAAACGTAATTATCATTAAGAAAATAAGATTCCACGTGTAATTCGTAAATTGAGGCATGCACAGCAGCGGAGATAGACTGACAAAACATTAAGTTTAATGTCCGCTAGGCTGATTAGTCAATAGACCGCTTTAGTTAGTTCGTCCGAAGTGCCGCAGTCACACCGCTACGAAACTCGCCCGAGCGCGCGTCTCTTCATTTTCCCGCCAAACTGTGATGTAACAATCTCTGTGTGATCTGTGGAAATATGACAGTGATTTTTTAATTCAACTTTTTAATTGTACAATTTGTGGTAAAGGAATAAAATTAAAATGACCGCCGGCAACGAGGAGCATGAGCCTTTGATTACATCGTCTGTTGATAACCAGCGTGTTGCTTATAGTAACTCGCCTACTGTAAGTATTAAATTGTATCTAGAATTAAGAAGTATTTATTTCTATTAAGAAAGTCTATATTTCGTTGTAGGACTAACTCAAATTGCTTTAAAAAGGTCTTGTCTAATTTATTATTGTGTCACCTTCTGCGTTTTAAACCGGTAGATGTATGAAGTATGAAATTAAATAGAGGTACTTATTGTGGAATTTCTGTCAAGTGTGGTTTTGTTTTGTAAATTATTAATTAGACATGACAAGTTAAGTCAGTTACTCCTACAAGAAATAGAGTTAATCTCAGTACCTAGTTAATTCTGCATGGTAACGTTTTTTTTTAAATCATCCCATTCTTCAATCCATCTACATTAATTTATTTAAATTCCGGCACGGGAAAGCTTGCAATGCCGCGCTTGCGCGTTTATCTTTATTACATTTATTGAACAAGATTTTAACGATGTTCTCAAATGAATTACTTCGAATAACTAACATGTTTTAATATGGAATGAGCACTAAAATTTGATTTTACCAATTCAAAAAACGCATAATTAGCTACTTTTATTAGTACGAATAGTATGGCCACTATAAATTCCATGCCGTGTGTTCATCAAACGACATAATTAAAATATTAGTATTAAAGCGAAAAGAAAAATAAACCGGAATCAACAGCTCGATAGTAAAAATACTTATGTTACCAAGGCTGTATCGTCGATTCCGTGGGCTAGACGGATTTAAAAAAGTTGGTTTAAAAACTTGTTTCCCACTGCATTGACTCTATGGTTCGAATATAGAATTCTAATTTCAATTTTATAAGGCGTTCTAATTTCTCATTTTTATTAAAGAAAATGTATTTTTGATGTGAATGAGTTTATAATTTAGGTCGTTAAGGTTGCGACAGGTTATTAAAAGAATTCATTAATTATAAAGGTTTGGAGGCCCTTCACTGACCACGAAATAGTTAAATTGTGGTTATGTCGCAACAGCTGGTAGAGGAGGGCTCGAAGATGCGTTGTGGTACTTACTTGTGTAGATACGAAATTATGTTGACCCTTATTATAGTCACCTGCCTTAACTGTATCATAATCATCTTGTTTTGTTAAATAAAGAATGTTTGTAGCCATAGGGCACATACCTAAGTGTACTTTAATGGTCGCCTAAAAGTTCGATACAGACAGATTACCTAATCTGGTAGTTTAACGAAACAACTGGTCAGACATTTTCTATAGCAACATGTTATGCTTACTACAGAAAATGTCATAATTATCAAAAACATCTAGGTAATCTAAATTGCATGAAATTGGAAATATTCACACACTGAACCATAAACATGAACTCTCAAAGGCTACAGAAAATATAGACTGTCAAAGTCAAAGTCAAAGTTAAGTCAAAGTCAAAGTCAAAATCATTTATTTCAATTAGACCAAGGAGGCACTTTTGAACGTCAACAAAAAAGAAAAAAAGTGCATCTATTTGCTCATTCCAAGGTATAGATTCCTATGTAGAAGAACGAGCAAGGAACTCCATAGGTTACTCTTTATGAATCAAGTTTAAAATACAATTGGGATGATGACAGGATATGAAAATTAAAAATATAATTTAATAAAGCGAATCAAAGTGTAGGAGTGGGGGCTAAAACGTCATTTCTACGTAACATTTACATAGAAGTGACGTCACGCCACAATCAAATCAATATATCGTCGAAAGTATTCGTTTCTGTAAGAAAATAAAAAATACGTGTCTAACGATTTAAAATAATCTGCCAGACGGACATTAAAATAAAAATTAGGCTTCTACCATATTCTCTAGTTGTCATCAATCATGTACTTATACACATAGATAGGTAGTTACATAGTCCATGGTAACTATAAAATTGGTTAAATGGTTACTATAAGAATTTCTCAGAACTACCATCGAGTCGCTAGCTAGTACTTAGTAGATCTATATAGTAGTCTTTGTTGACCGTCTTCAATTTAGTTGAATAGGTCACTTCCCTTTGCATACGAAAATTGATTCTCCATATGTAGGTACCTACAAATAGATAAGAGCAGTGCCAAGAGTAGAGAACAATATCTACATTTTAATGATAAAAATGAGTTTAATGCTGTAATAAATACCAAACAATGTCCGTCACTAAAAGCCAAATTAATTAAATATTAATATTTGTCTTTTGTAAAATTCCATGCCACCACATTTTTACAAAATGGCTGCTTATTAAATAGGCATTGAAATTTTAATTTGATGTGTGTTCTGCATATCCAGTTGTCAGTCCAGATTTATTGCAAGATAACTCTATTTGAGTAAGATTTTCCGGTGTATTATATTGTAAATTATATCTTGTAAGTAGTCATTGTTTTTCATGTTAAAAGCAAATTATAATTTTTACGTGCCTTCTTTGTTTTGGAATGAGCACCTAGCTTCACCTAGCTTCACTGACGGACTGACTGACAGACTATTATTTATTTTGTATTTGTTGACGTTTCAAAAGTACCAAACTATGGTTTAATTGAAATAAATGATTTGACTTTGACTTTGTTGTATAATATTTCCATTTATTGTTGTACATTCCTTTATATTTCGGCACAGACTAAATATAAGTCAAGTGTTCTCTATAAAAAAATTGGATGATTTTTTTCCCGACCATGGTCACACCCGAGTTATGTAGTCCTAGTATTATTTTTTTATACACATAAATTGAATACATAATTAACACATAGATACGGAGCTTTCGTTCGTCATCTACTTATTATATTCGTGGAACCTGTCCGACTCACCTATTTCATATTATACGTGACAATAACTACGCAGAATGAATGGATACCCTTGTTTGAACTATTTATATGTATTAAAATATATGCACTTATTTCATAATAGAATCAATAATCAAACACGAATATGTTACTAATCTATCCATTAACGTTTATTTTAAAATAAAATATGAAAAAAAAAACGTCTAGAAATAATAATACTTAGATTAACAATCGCGAACTAAAATATTTCACCTTTTTATAGCTTTTATTGTTCGATTTCTCTTGCATAGGAATTATTGTATTATATTATTTGAAACACGGAATATGTTCTCGACAAAGGTTATAGGAGAAATATTGTATTATATGTGTGAATACAAAAGTAAGGCAGGTATATAGTTTGATTATCTTAAAAACTAAGCGGCAAATCTATGGTGCTACAATTATTGTAGTTCTTAATTAGAGCGTATGTAAATATTGTACCACACTGAATTCACACGTAAATACATAGGTATGAATGTGATGCATTGTTATCTAAGCCAGCCTCAGTGTAATGATTTATTTAAGTTTGAAAAAATAGTGCGTCCAGTAATTCGAACCTCATTATGTATGATATAGAGCTCCAATTAAAATAGTTATTAAATGTAACCATGAAATCAATGTCGAGACTTCAAAGGTTGATGGCCGTCATTGACGTACTTACAATATTTTTTTATTATAAACCCATGTACAACTAATTTTAGCTATATCTCAGTATATAGCGTTACTTAGTTGATTTTTATCTAAATACACAATTTTCTAGATTTATTTTATTTCTTTTTCAAGTCCAAATAGACTGCAGCAGGCGCTCAACACGTTACCAATGTGGTATTTCTTGACAAAAGACTAGAAAAAGATAGTAAACTCCTTGATCCTTCCTATTGTAAAAAGGCGAACTTGGGTGATCAATTTTACATACTGTGAAGACTAGTTACATTGGTTCGTTAACAACGCTAGCATTGCTCAACCACCCAAGGTTCTGCAATCCTTAGACGTTTCGTCGCTTAGGAGACTCAGCTACATACTATGCTGATATGCTCCCCTATAATTTAGACACTTATTCTAAGTAGGTACCCAGCGACAAATTTAACACCTAATCTTAAGCTCCTGTCGACTTAACCTTTAAGTACCGACGTGTGGTCTGACAGACACTTGAAGCGTTCGGATACGGTGGTTTCATTTGTTAACAGAGACGTAACCCCCCGCGCGTTCGTGTACCCCTCAGGCAGTCGCCCGGCAACGTTCGTGGAGTGTGGTTGTGTCGGCGCTTGCGTTTCTGGTGAGTTATGTCTTTTATAAGTTCGCGCGTGGTCTGACAGACCACTCGTCGGTACTTACGTAACTTTTTTTGGGACGATTTTTTCCAGGTTTTACTATTTTTCTCTTTTATTTTCAGCTAGTCATAAAAATGAATCGGCCGGGTACATCGGGTGTGAAACGTGCACCCTCAAAAGAAAATGAGAGTGTTCCTGTCACTAAGAAGAAACGTGAAACTAAGCCTCAAAATAAGGATCATGAAGAGATGGTAATTGAATGGCTAAATGAGAGCTCAGAGTCAGATTCTGATGACATAGATCCGAATTTTATTGCCGAGAGTGACCATGATTCAGCATCTGAATGAAACATGTGTGCCTGCAATGCAGTAAGCCTGTATGCAAAGAGTGTTTGTAAATTGTGATAATTCCTATAATGATGCCGTGCAATTTTGAAGAAATTTGTTAATTCTTTGTTAAATTTTAATTTTAGTTGTTTTATTAGTTATTAATCTTTAAGAAAAAACATATATCATGAAAAAAAAAATACTTAGTTGGTAAATGTTATTAAAAAAGTAAAAAGTTAATTTTTTCTCCCAAAGAAATTAAGACTTCAAAGTTCGTGTTAATAATAATAATAAATATAAAAATTTCTTTATCTTGTTTTATTTATACAATAACTAAATATATGATTAATACATAGACACATTTAAAAAATAATAATATTTTGTAATATGAAAGTTTTCCTTACTAAAGCTATAGTGGTCTAGCAGACCTCACGTCGGTACTTATGTAACTAAGATGGCATGTCGGTACTTAAAGGTTAATCAGGTGTTACGTATCTTCCACGTGCTAGCAACCTGACACTTGTTCCGGATATCGGTCCACCCCTAATACTGTTTCGTAATAAAACACCGAATTTAACGTCGGGTTTCTTAATTAGGAGTTCATTGTATTGTTAACGAATTAGTTGTATTGATCCATCGGTCTATCCTTCCGTGAGAGAATTTTTCACTGCAGTAACGGATACAGTATTACGGAAGTTCTTGTTGAACCTCGTATCGTATCGTGCAACACGTTGCAATAATATTTAGCTCGCCCCATAATATATCAGTGCAATATGCTGTGTAAATTAAGCTGTTGTTTTTCCATGCATTAAGTTGGAACGTTTATCAGAAAACTAATACTTCCTCAAGGGGAAGCCTCAAGCCAGTGTACATGACGACACTTAAGTCTTCTTGAAAATTTAACAATGGGTACATTTACACTGTAGAGAGATCTTTAATTGAAGGTTAAAAGAATATTTAATATTGGTAACCAAACTCTATATTGTCACTAGCTACTTCCGCGCGGTTTCACACACTCTGCTCAGCTCCTATTGGTCGTAGCGTGATGTTTTATAGCCTATAGCCTTCCTCGATAAATGCACTATCCAACACAAAAAAATATTCAAGTCAGATTTGTAGATAGTTACGGAGATTAGTGCGTTCAAACCAACGAATAAAAAAACTAACTCTTCCACTTTATATAATAGTATAAGATAAGATTCCATGAATACCGTACTTAGAAATTATACTTAGGTGTTTCTATCTTCACGAGTGTTGAATGCCGACCAAGATTTTCGAATTATTATCAACAGCATAATTCTTCTCCAGCATAGAGTCTACGTGTAGATTAACAGTTCTCCTCGTCTACGTATCCCATTGTCACGTCCCCAAAAATATTGACTACCTAGACAAGCATTTAAATGGCATTTGGCTAGACAGCAGGTGCCTATTCGTTATTCGTATGCCTAATTTGGGGCAAACTTGTTTAGATTTTTACGTTTATATACATAGCTATTATAGGTAGCAAATTAGCATAGAGACAGACATCTTGCATAGCAACCTGATATAGTAACTAAGTCTACCTATACTTATAGTCACAGATGAATGACTATACGCATGGCCATTCAAAACGTTTGATATCATTGATGACCAGACTAAAAGTCTTCTATAACTGTTGCATTCAGTGCCGCAATCATTGAGTCATCCATTCATTAACTCTTGATAACTTATAAATGCATTACTAAATACACTATTAAAGTATTCATTAATATCTTTAATGTTCCCGAAATATTTAACAAAATGGACTGTAAAATTACGTAACCAAATAAAATCGAAATACAATGAACAAAGGCTCAAATTACTCAGATGAGGAACTTGGAATAAGATCTATATCAGAAACTGAGTGTCAAATGTGACGTAAGAGGTTATCGACTAGCCTATAGTATGTAAGTAATACCTATGTATGATAATGTTGCATGTAAATCACATGTTGTGCTTAAAATAAATGCCGTTAAATATGTATTTATATCTAAGTATCTACTTGAAGCAGAGGTACAATGTACTTAGTGCAATGTCATGATAATGAGTTTTATTTATTGTGGCATTAATTAATTGATTTTCTGTGTAATAGCTACTGCCCGACGATGTACGTCGCACCGCGCATTTTGTTTATGAATATGAGCCCCGGTTTGACTTGAAATTATTAGAGCTTTTCCCACGTGAAAAACATACATTTAAATTAGATATCAAATAGGAAGATACTTCGAAATAACACTGATTTTTCTGTAGGATTCTAGGATTTTATTCCACGAAATCAGACGGTCCTACCATTCATCATGTTTTAAGATACAGCATGGAAATCCTTGACTTTTTCCTACGTATTCGTCGTTGTAGGTTTCAAACTAGATGTTGTCAGGTGTGATACCAGATTTCTCTTATATATCTCTAAATGTCAGGTTTTAAAGCTTGAGATATAATAATAATAAAATGCTTGGTATGCATATTAGCAGGTGTGATTATGAAAAGGTGACTTGTAGAAGTTGTAGAGAGCCAAGTTTGACCGCTCGTAATGTAAAACGTTGCTAATGATCGAAATATTGTGTTAAACTAATCAATTTACATATTTAAATTTTCTACCAATAAATAAGTACCTAATCACGACAGCATATGCATCCCCAACATATACATAAATTGTTGGCAGGCCACAACTGTGCGCTTCTCACGTAGCTTCCTGCCTCACACAGCAAAACTGTGGAATGATCTGTCGTCGGCGGTATTTCCGAACCGATACGACCTTCAAACCTTGAAGAAAAGAGCGTACTCCTTTTTAAAAGGCCGGCAACGCACCTGTGACTCCTCTGATGTTGCGGGTGTCCATGGGCGGCGCTGATCGCTTATAATCGGGTGATCCGTAAGCTCGTTTGCCTCCTATTCCATACAAAAAGTTCTCTGTTGGAGCTAGAGATCAGTAGGATTACAATAGAGATGCTAAATATTGTTTACTATGGGTTTTAATGAATGTATGTTAAATATTCGGGTGATTCTTTTAAAACTACAGTTAACATCATTTGTTACTTACAATGCACAGCATTGTGGCACTTATATGTATGTATATATATGGATAAAAATGAAACCCTTTTTCCATTGGTCACGGCATTACACGTGAATGGTTGGACCGATTTCAATAATTCTTTTTGTGTTGTATTTGTTATTATAGGTAGAAGGTTCTTATGACGTAAAAAAATCTTGAAAATCCTACGGGGACGAGAGAAAACGGGATTACGCGCGCGGGCAGAACCTAGTTATAAATAAAAACAGTCCTTTTTGTCTCATGTCAAATATGTAACAGCGCATAGTCAAGGTGCACTTCCAGCTCAAACTTTTGCACCCTAAAACCTTTCAAAGATAAAGGCATGTATGATAAGACCACTCAGGACTATAAAAATAAACGGCACTAGTACATACCTCTGTAATTAAAAATATTATAACAATCTCGATGACAGCCCACTAGACACTTGGTTCTTAGCTTACAGCCTCTACAGGTATTATGTGTATCGACTTGTCAAACAGGTTGTTGACCTATAATTAATCAAAACTTAAGTTGAGTAGCGTGTAAAAAACTTTAAAGCGAAACTTTTTTATTATGTCTACTATACATAGTTGCTCTATTTGTGTTTTATATAAGACTAGCTTTTACCCGCGGCTTTGCTCACGTCACAAAAGGATAAAAAGTAGCCTATGTGACATATACCAATACATACAGCACCATCTATACCAATACTTTTGTTTTCCCTCGGGAATATCAAATTTTTCCGGGATAAAAAACTACCCTATTATTTAATACGGACTTCTAACTTTACGTCTGCAAAAATTCAAAGCAATCGGTTTAGTAGTTACGGCGTGAAAGCGGAACAAACAAACAAACTCACTTTCCGATTTATAATATTATAGTAAGGATTATTTCATTATTATTTTATTATTGTCATAAGCAACCTATTCACTCGGGCTTTGAAGACACCCAGGTTATACCTTCAGGAAATACAGACACCTGAACCCATAATATAACACTTTCTTTCTTCTTCTCTAGGATGCTCATACTCCAGAATCTTCGCCTCGCGGCAGTGGTGGTGAAATAACGTTGGCAATACCAGCTCATCGTAACTATGGAGCCATTGGAGGCATCGAGAAGGTCACATACACCTGGGCGGATATCAACGCCTTCGCCACAGAGTCTAGGTCCAGATCCAGACGAATCTGGAACTTCTGGAAGCCTTCTGCTAGTGGAATGTTCCAGCAGAGAAAACAACTGTTGAGAAATGGTAAGCAAGCTTGGAAAATGTTAAAATATGAGCGTTTGAGGATCTAAGGCAGCGTCAATTAGCACATAAAATATGTTTTTATAGTAGGATCGTAATATTACCAGCCTACTACCTGCTTATATAAGCAGGTTGCCAAATTAGGGTAAGCAAAAAAAAATAGGTGGAGCTTAGTTTTCTGCTCAACAAAATATTTTTAGGTCCTCTTATTGTCATTATTACGAAGCCAAGTGGATGTTAATCAGTAAGTAATAAAATATATTTTAGCGCAGATTATTTTATTGCGCTTAAAGCCACTAAGATCATCGAGGACCGCCGTGGACTGTTTGTTACTACGCAAATAACATTTTAAAAATGGCAAGAGACCCATCAATATCGAAATGGCTTCGTGTCTAGTTATAGACTTCTTGTTTGAAATATCAACAAGATAAGGATCAATAAATAATGAATTAATTTATCTTTTAATTCAAATCAATCGTTGTTAGTCCAAAAATGTTTACCCATGTTGTTCTATCGCAGTTTCTCACAAACATAAGTAGGTATCAGGTATCGTATTAATCTATAGATTGTTATCTAGAACAAAAACCTTGAAATCTTAATTTCAGATAAAAAAATCTTCTCAATTCAGCAAGCTAAATCGAGTTGCTTGATTTTAACGGACATAACAGCAGAACCAAAGTTTTTGAACATGACATAGGAAAATAGAAACTGTTGTAATTTGATAAGAAGTTAATGAGCGATAAATAGTCGATAAGCGATAAGGACAAGCCCCCAAAGTGGTCACACTAGTTCTGGTGGTTTTTTCCTAGGTACCTGACTAACGAGGTAGTGGCAGATACATTTTATGACGAGCCTCTAGGATTTAAAATAACGACATAGCTTCTGATCGCCCCGATTTCTAGCCCACTCCGAGGAATCCAATATACTTATAATATTTTTTTACCATAACACTTTTACCAACGAGTGGGAAATACTCGTTAAAGTCATGATCACCTTAACTTTTATCTCTTGAGACATGAAGAGAATTGTTATTGTAACGTGTTTGTCTGCGGCATCGTAGCTCATAAACAAATTAACCGATTATGATGCGATATTGTTCCTTTTAGTCAATGGCGCGGCATATCCAGGCGAGCTCCTTGCCATCATGGGCTCGTCAGGTGCTGGTAAAACGACACTCCTCAACACACTTACCTTCCGTACTCCAAGCGGGGTATTATCCAGCGGTACCAGAGCCCTGAATGGGCAGCCAGCCACTCCTGAAGCGTTAGCAGCATTGTCAGCTTACGTTCAGCAACAGGACCTGTTTATTGGCACACTCACTGTCAAAGAGCATTTGATATTCCAAGTAAGTACAATATCTGCTATTGTAAAATTACGCAAATGTGTGAATGGAGGGAATTCTAACAAGCATGTTGCTGCTGTCGTAAAATTCCTGGATTTAGGTTGGCGGCTTCTTTACATCTTCTTTATATCAGCGGTTTCACATAGGTACATAGATAAATATTAATTAATTCCTGAACTTAAACCTTGAAACCTTTAAGAAAAGAGCGTATTCCTTTTTAAAAGGCTGGCAACGCACCTGTGACTCCTCTGGTGTTGCGGGTGTCCATGGGCGGCGTTGATCGCTTACCATTAGGTGATAGATCAGCTCGTTTGCCATCTATTCCAAAAAAAAACTATGTCGACAAATTTTTTAAATTATTTTAGTTTCAAGTTTTCAAAAGCTTTGCAGCCTCGGGCATTGCGCTTGTTATTTACTGACTGATTATTTGTCATTGCAAATACGCACAAACTAGTTCGATTGAGATCCAGTTGACATTTAGCTCTACCTAATTAGCTACTATGTACTTTGATATTTATGGCTGCAATGCAAAAATTGTACACGAGTTAGTCTGATTAATAACTAGTTTCTCACTCAGTGAATCGTAAAATAAAAACTATTATTCTAAGGAGTTTTATTGAATTTAACATGTCCTACAGGAGTAGAACTTTTTAGTACCTAATTTTGTTGTTAGTGGTTCAAACTACTTCAAACGGGGCAAGCTGTTCCTTAAACGAAACTCATGTTAAGAGTTTCCTAGAAAATCTATAGGTAGTAACAAGTCTCATCAAAACTCATCGAGCAGTTTAAAAACTTCAAGCGGATACCCAGACAAACGATAGTCGAGAAGCAACGTCTTGCGTGCGTCCTACATACTGGTATTCTAAAATTTTAATAGGTAACATAATGGAACCGGTTTGCCTAAAAATAAAATCAGTCATTCCAAGGCCTTGACACCAACACAAAAAACTATATGATAGTGAAATAATTACTTTATGGCTACAAATCTTTTAAACCCATGACAAATGAGTTCGTATCATGTAGTTTGAGTCGTCTATGGAAACAATTGTTTTCTGTATAACATGATTTTGTTGCATAATAGGATATACCTTTTTTCTGTGTAGGTACTTTTTCGGCTTTGAGAAAATAATAAGAAACTTTTAACTTACTTTAAAATGGTTTTAATAATGGCTTGAGCTTCATGAACTGAACATAAAATAATAAGTTAGACTACTAACATCTGACCGTGACATCGCGCCGTGCGTTCGGGTCTGGTTCTGGTAGGGCAGCGAGCTACCCATGCTCGCCGTCCGCTGCAGGGTTACAGGGGCGTCTGTTAAGAGTCTGACACTCCCTCCCGCCTCACCCAGGCGGGAGCAGTCATTGGATGGTTTCCCCCCCTTAAAAATAACCCTGCAGCTCCGGAAATCAGACTAGTTCTAGATTAATGTGATATTACAACCTTTTAATGTACTCTAATTTTTATTTCTAATTATTTTCTTTCCTTCCATAGGCTATGGTGAGAATGGACCGACATATACCGTACGCTCAACGCATGCGTCGTGTACAAGAAGTAATTACTGAGGTAAGATGTTTCATAAGAACCTACTTTACTAATTAATCTAGAAACCCTAAAACTGTGAACCGAGATTATAGGTTAAGAAAGTGGATATAAAGACTTAAGTATTGATTTGGCAAGTATTTACTTGCTTTTGACTTTGGTTGGATTACTTTTTATTTTGGAAACTGCAGCTCATGTACATTTTATAGTCCGATTACTATAAAATGTATTAGTTTTATCGAACGTGTTGTAGCAAAGTAAAGCGTGACTTACTAAGAATTCTGCTTATAAAGCTTAATAAGATATATAGATCATGCTATGAATGGAATCGTTACTTAGGTTTATTTGTCTTCTACCTTTAAGAAACTACTTAAACATACCATAATTTAATTTGGAGCAGGAACGGCATATCGTCTACAAAATGACATTAAAATTAAATTAATACATATTAATTATAAACGAATTAATATGAAATGTAGAAAACGTTTTCTAAATTATAGGTTTTGCAATCAACGTGTAACGGCCTAAATGTTCTAAATACCCGATGTAGTAGTGTCATTCATTTAATGCAAAATTTAGTTTTTCAAATAACTTATTCTAATTCCAGATTGATCGTGACCTAGGTTAAATTGCGTGGTAGAATTAACTCTTAATAAGTTGGCAACATTCCGTACATTTTACCTATTATTATAAAACAGGACTGTGCATAATTTGACATCAATAAGTGGTTTATTTCAAATTATCGTCAAATTACAGTCAAAAACGATATTGACATAATATGTAAATGATTCACGGTTACGTACCTAATGCAATTAAAATGTTATTATCAAAAAAGAGCAAATTGTAATAAATATTATTGTTACTTGTATATGTGCCGCGGAGAACCTAACGGGTTCCGTCTCTTGTTTCATACATTTTGTTTCATATGAACTTTTGTTTCATACATTTTTATTGATGTTTGCTACTGACATATAAAATATTATCATTTATTTGAATAAGATTTATCAAAACTCCTGCGAAGTGTAGGTCGTTTACTCGTTTCATATCTTTATAAGTGGGATTAAAAAAGGTAAATAGCCTTTGAGTGTAGGCGCCAACTCCTGATTCAAATGTGTAGGACCGAAATCTTGGGTTTGATATATCGTCATGCGGTGGATAAAGTCAAAGTCAAAATCTATTTCAATTAAAACAATAGGGCAATATTTTTCTGAAATAATAATATAAATAAAGAACAGGAAGGTAGTTTTGAACATTAAAACAATAAAAAATTGTTAATATTAAAACTGACCGACTGACTGACTCGTCAGTCGATCAGTCCTCTAGTTGAGCTATTTACTCGTTCCAAGGTGTAGGTAAATTCCTATGGAGATGAACAGCAAGAAACTCCATAGGTTACTCTTTTTCAATCAGGTTCACCATACAATTCTTCGTTAGATTGTTTTAAATTATACAAAATTTTTACTTACTATTTAAATTCTGAGGATTCTGGATTTCTGTACGATTTTATAGAGCAACTAACGAAATAGTTTTATATAGCAACATTAGCACCTGGTGGCATATTTTGAAATATTTCCTGATCTAAGTAAAACAATTTTATTATGTACGGAATTCCTATTTACATAACCAAAACAAACTGATTGTAGTAGCTACAAAAAATAAACACGAAAATGTCACTAAAATCTACATATAAATTTGCACCTGTATTTAATACGATGCAAAGATCACTTTATTGACGAGCTCTTTAGTATAGTTTTATTAAGATCCGGCTACATTTTTCTAGTCATACGTGTTCGTTTGATAAAGTCCTTGAAATTCGGGTTGGAATCTTTTTGTCTTTCTTAGTTTTGCTTAGAGACCTTTAATGAATAATGTCTTAAGTATACAGAGTACCTACCTCAATGATAACGGCTATCGCATCATTATAAGGCGACGACCTCATGTCACTGTTCTTCTCTCCCTTAAGCGCCGTTGAAGGGTTGCGGTTTGGAGATCGTAGCTAGGTTATCTATAGTTTAGATTTAGAGTACGCTACTACCTGCCTCACACTCCCATAGTCGCAGGTCTGCGACCTGTTTTTGGGCATATGGGCATAGTATCTTGTATGAAGTACCTGTAGCGTTACTTTAAATTATTCTTTAACCGCAGATAATTTGTGAACGGCACAATATGTCTTAATCACAGATAAACCAAGGGGCCCCAGGCAATTTTAATAATACTGATATCCCGTCATTAACTTTATTATTTTGTCCACAGCTGGCGTTAACAAAATGCCAGAACACGGTGATCGGTATCCCGGGAAGGTTGAAGGGTATATCAGGAGGTGAAATGAAGAGGCTGTCCTTCGCCAGCGAGGTCCTTACTGATCCACCTCTCATGTTCTGCGATGAACCAACTTCGGGACTCGACTCATTTATGGCACAGAATGTGTTGCAGGTAATTATTACGAAGATCTAGAACTATTTTAGGAGAAAGAAAAAACTTTAAATGTCCTTGATACATTTCACGTAGGAAATCTACTACACACTTGATCTTTGTTTATTCCCAATTAGATTTGGTTTCGGTTTTATGTCTTAACCAACTTATGTTTTCGACTTACTCGCGTAATTATTTGACGAGGAACTCGACTAGTTTCAAGCCATACTAGAGGATCATTTATAAAAGTTATAATACAGATTCAGTATTATACATGGCCCAGTTATTCCCCCACATTTCCAATTCCCAAAAGGTCAGTAACGGACTTGTAAATTCTCTGGAATTACGGGTGTCCATGGGCGGCGCCAATTGCTTACCATCGGTTAACCCATCTGCTAGCTTGCCGCTTGCCGCCCTTTTCGACATGCCATAAAAACATGGAGCAATTTCATCTTCGTTACCAATTTGTATCGTAATTAAGCCAAATTAGTATAAAGAGGAACACATTTTAACTGAAACCCTTCGTCTCCAGGTACTCAAAGGTCTAGCCCAGAAGGGTAAGACAGTGGTATGCACCATTCACCAGCCTTCATCAGAGTTATACGCCATGTTTGACAAACTGCTGATCATGGCTGATGGCAAGGTCGCTTTCCTCGGCTCACCAGACCAAGCCAACGACTTCTTCAAAGAGTAAGTAGCTTTTGGATCTCTCTTTTTATTTAGGTATCTTTGCAATGCCATTTTATTTTATTTGTTTAATGTAGTTACTTTTATCTAAGTTTACGTAAAACAAGATGATGTTTATTAGTTTACGTTAATTACTTAATTAACGCACACAGAGATCTCTCCTTACCTTCCTTACTTGAAACTTACTTTTTCTTTTAACCTCTTCCTTCCTAGGTACCTATTAATATCAATAGAGTAGTTGCCTTAATTTTATTTTAATGTCCGTCTGGTACATTAATTTAAAACATTAGACACGTATTTTTTTCTTTTCTCACGAAATTAAATACTTTTGACGATATATATCGTGTGACGTCACAATAGTGACGTAACGACCGAACGAAGGACCGGGAGCTCCTAAACTTAACTCAATTTTGTCTAAGTATTGTAACAATTTATACGAGAAAATAAAAAAATACGTGTCTAATATTTTTTCATTATCTAACTGACGGACCAATTAGTTAGATTTTTAATGTTCATTCCGTGGCAACTACCCTATTTGTTGTAAAAATCACTTACTTCCTGTTCCAAAACCGCAAGATTCTCATGTGACCATGTCGCCATGTCGCTAAAGTGTGCCACCTCTTAAGCCACCTCTTAAGTCATGAACGTAACCCAATACTGACGTACACTACACAATAAATTGGCTTATACCCTTAAACTGACACAACCGTCCCTCCACTACCTATGAGTTTTGTCACGTTTTACGTGTTTTTGTTGTTTCTATGCTAATTACGATACGAATGTTTCTACGGAAGTCCTTATTATTATGTAATTGATGAAGTTTCCATTATCATGCGACATCTGTTCCCTATGAAAATGGATCAAAATCATCGAAATCTGTACACTTAACTATTTATTTAGCTTTTTCTCACTTTCTATTGCCCTCTCTTAACTCAAAAACTACTATGCATTTCACAGTCCACCACTACCGTTAGAATCTTAAAAAGATCGTCTTTCATAATATTTACTATTATACACATTTCATGTTATGCGATCGTCTCCTATGCGCATCGCATCATGTCCTTGACGTCATCTGACATCGATAATACATTTCATAGGTCTTAAATATCTTTGTAAAAAACATTTCCTCACAGATTAGGAGCAGCGTGTCCACCGAACTACAATCCAGCAGACCACTTCATCCAACTCCTGGCTGGAGTACCAGGCAGAGAGGAAACCACTCGCACCACCATCGATACTGTCTGCACAGCATTCGCTCGTTCAGAGGTTGGATGCAAGATCGCTGCTGAAGCTGAAAATGCCCTTTATTTCGAGGTACGTATCGGACACCAATATTTTAGTTTATTTGACCAATTTGTAAAAGAGGAGTCTTATAAAATTAATAAAGAGATTATTGCGCACACACCAGGTACAGTTCCATACAGTAAGCACTGATGATTCACTTGCACTGCACCAAATATTTTTATTACTAAATCGAAAATTTTATCTAATCCTGCAATTTAATTCAAAATTCTTTATTTGGTAATTGCTCTTACGAGTTTTGGGCCAATGAGGTAGGTATTTAGTATGTTCAATTTAAATTATAATCCACCCAAAGAATGCATTAGCATTATTATTCGCATTGAGCAGGCGTGGTGATATGCTCAAACTTTCTCCGTGTAAGAAGAGGCCTTTGGTCAGCAGTGGCCACTTATGGGCTATTGATGTGTGTGATGTGATTTGGTTTTAGGACAAAATAGGACCAAACATTTCCTCCTTACTTTCATTTATTTATAACTACTATTATCTCCCTTAGCGCAAAATCTCCTCTGGTTGGGCGGATCCAGCGTGGTCAGAAGCCACAGCTATACGCGCTCGTAGGTCTCCGTACAAGGCGTCGTGGTGCGCTCAGTTCCGAGCCGTCCTATGGCGGTCCTGGCTCTCTGTCACCAAGGAACCCATGCTCATCAAAGTGCGCTTCCTACAGACTATTGTAAGTATACTCTTAACTTTCTTTTAATTTTATACATGTCTTTAATAAGAACCGCATTTAGTATCACAAGCGTTACTGCTATATGCCACGAGTTATAGTTACAGGATTTATAGAAAGATATCTAGGATTTCTATAATCCTATTATTCAAGTCCCACACTTGAATAATAGAATTATTTAGCCATGCTCCGGTACGAATGGTCGGCTCGACCGAGTGATGCCATGGTTTTACAGAAAACCGTAGTGAAATAACGCTTGCATTGTGTTTCGTCATGTGAGTGTGGTTACCGGAGGCTCAATTACCACCCCCCCTTTCCCAATCCTCAGTAATCCCCAAATTCATAATTCCCAAAAGGCGGATAGGGTAACGCACTCGTTACATCTTTGGTGTTCCGGGTGCCCAAGGGCGACGCAGATTGCTTACCATCCGGCGATCTATCTGCTGCTTATCCCATAAAAAACGCTCATGTTCGATAGTGCTGGTCCAGATTTGATCAAGAAGATTGAAAATGTTTGTCAAGGACAAAACTACACTTCGATAGTACATTTCTGTTAGCTAATTACCAAGGGTTTGCTGAGAGCACCTATTGACTGTTTTAAGACGTGTTGGTAAGAAAACCATTTAACACAGTTGTTGTCATAACAGGATTATTAACGAAAGTGGCGCCACCTAGTCCACCGAACCTATATTTTCCTAATATATCATCCTTATATTGTTTTAGATGGTGTCTATCCTGATAGGCGTTATCTACTTCGGGCAGCACTTGGACCAGGACGGCGTTATGAACATCAACGGAGCCATCTTCATGTTCCTCACAAACATGACCTTCCAGAACATCTTCGCTGTTATTAACGTGAGTATATGTAAATGTTGTAGTTTCTATGAAATTGTCCCTTCGTGTTGTAGATTTTTCTAGTCCTACACTTCGTCCCATTAGTAGAATAATGTTCTATTTGCAAATTGTCGACTTTTCAGTAGAGCGATTATAAATTTCGCGCGCACATATTTGCTTATAAATCTGTTATAAATGATACTAGCTACTTAATATTTGTACAGTATGCACAGAAGTTAGTACCGTTTATGATAATATAATTATTTGTTTTATAAACTATGCCTTTTCAAGTATAATGGGTCGCATGTGCACATACAACGTTCTTTTGCCAAAAAAAATATTGAATGAGATGTCTTAAGGATACATAAAACAATATTCGACGAAACTATTCACGATACATCGGCATATCAAACATTATTTTACGAATTTTGGTGGTTTTATCCGTGTTTTATATGAAACTGTAATACTAAGAAAGTAGAATTGGTTTTAAATTCATCATTATTACTGAGTATTTTTATGTATTTAAAAACGTTGGTGTTTTCTTAATCAATTTATTAGTCAATGTAGTAATCAATATACGAGTAAATTAAAAATAAATACAAACTGACTACATACACTATGAGGAATAACCTAATCAAGATATTTATTATAAAATTATTAAAAGAGGCGACAGAAAAACAGAATAATGCTCTTACAATTCTTACAAAATAAATACATGGCGATCCATAAGAAAAAAATATTATAGATCACTTAAAACTAACTATTGACTTATTTCTTTCTGTGGTTATTCTCATGAATAAATCAGTCCTATATAATTGTAATATAAAGTTAGCTTAATAATAAAAACACAATAAATAATTATGGCACCATTGTGAATATATTAAAAAAATATTAAAAATAAAAAATTAGTCTCAAACATAGAAAACAATTATGAAAACACTAAACTAAAGAACAAACAATATACTAACTACTAGTCTACTAAAGAGGAAAGATTTAAATTTTTGTTTGTTTGAATTGAAAAAGGCTCCGAAACTACGGAACGGATTTCAAAAATTCTTTTAGCGTTGGAATCTTACATACTACACCCCTTATAAGAAAAAGATAGGAACCGTGTTAAAATTTCGAAAATGTAACCCGATTTGTGAAAAATCAACCATAAATATTGCTTAATCTATTGACTACTAATAGAAAACTGTAAAAGCAAATGCTTTTGTATTCTTTTGAATTCCTATCCCCAATCCTTTAAAAGAGCGCGAACGAAGCCTTGGGCAGAAGCTAATCCATTAAAATAACGTATTCATTTAATTGAATTAGAAAATCCCTGATCCTAATGCAGTTACATAGTAGTATTAGTCCTTGAAAACCCGTAGCATTTCATTTGTTTTAAGTAATTTTTAGTCCATCGAGGTCAAATTTACCATGAATGTTTGCCCGTCTCCTTTAGGTAATAGTATTAGAAGTAGCGTCTTACCGGTACAAATCAGGCCACATTATTAGTACCAAAGTAATAACCCGGAAGTCCCAGAATTAGAATATGTGCTATATCTCAGGACTCTATCTTTTAAACCACTGAACGTATTTGATTGAAATTTGGTTTACGGTTCACTGGCACTGAAACAATCACTGGGACAATCTATGGCTTAAAATACTGAACCTATTTGAGTGCAACTCTGTTGAAATTTGTACATTCGGACAATACCGTCTAGATATCATTACGTCGTGTTTTACTTAAATAATGTGATTGGATAGATGCAAATGAGTTCACTTGGTCACAACCGCTAGTGATCATGTCTTCTACGATTACCTTTTTTTAATTTTTGTGGCGGTCTCTGTAATCGTCTTCTACGACAGTGCTGTTGCAGTACTTATCTCATGTAGTTTTAACTATAGTTTTGTAGCGTATTGCGTCGCTTGCTCGTTATAATATGTATAAATAAAATTGCAATTCTTTGGTGTATCCTGATTCAAACATCTGTTTTTCGTCTTGGTGGTGTACTTTATTTCATATTCCCTATTTAATGCAAATTCTAACTCAAAGATCGTCTATTCCACTGGTACCACAAACTCACCAATTGAGCCTGACCTGCTCTTTCCCCATCGTTTGAGAAATCATCATTGAAAAAATGTAATAATAAAATTATATTGGATATAATTATTTTTCCTTTGATTCTGTAAAAGTAACAAGGAGTATATGCATAACATAATAGTTTAAAAAAAATTAGTAAAGTAAATGTATGTACATAACTTAGATATATGTAATTTGATGAGCGCTCGAGTGGTCTACTGTGGTAGTACGCACTCACTTTTTCACGTGTCACTGTTTTATTTTTTTTTGCTCTAAACTGGGAGTTTAAAAAATAAACTATTTCGATTTTTCTAATACAAAAAGCAAACATGTCAAAAAGGGAGGCGTGCACTCTTGTGTTTAGGTCCATTGGTGTTTTCAATGTAAACTTACATTAGTTACTTTTTTGCTATACCTACCTAGTACATTTAGTTGTTAATAGATTATTGAATAAGCTGTTCATATTTTAAATTAAATTTAACCATTTTATAGCAATTTTAAGATTTCGAATATTGTTTTATAATAAAACCGTTGGTAAAAAGAAGTGTCATTTGCATATACGGCACTCACTTTAATTATTTTTTTTGTAGAATAATGTTTTATGCGTACTTGCGGACGAAAAAAATATAAAATTTTACGTAGTAAAATGTACTAGGTTTATAAGAAACTGGAAAAATAGGGGAAAAAATAAGACAAGTCCTATTAGATACCGTTATGTTATATAAGTTATTATTAAAGTATTTAGTTCAGATTTAAGTTCTAATAAGTAAGCTTTGGTATTTCGTAAAAAAATGTTTTATGTGATTATAAATACTGTCTTTGTGGGAAATTTATAAAACGTAGTGTAAATTGTATCAAACCATTATATACAGCATATTTTATCAAATTTTGGGTATTCATTGTAACAAACACCACTCGCTGCTATTTCGTCGAACAACGTTACTTAGGATGAAGCGACACGGCACGCGCAGCTAATTGCGCAGGAGCAAGGCGGAGAATATTGTTGTATGTGATCATGCATAGTTATTTTACGTAGTCGGCGCGGATAAAACTTTATTCGAGCACTGTATCTTTTGAATTAATTGATAAAAATATATAAAAATAGTATCAATCGATAGTTTACATTATAAGGATGACGAATTTAACATAATATGAATTTCGACACATGTGATCATAACACTTTATTCTTCCAATGGGACGACTTATACTCACCGAAATAGAATGTTTTAGTTTCATATTTATGCTTATTCAAGCAACTTACTTCACTAATAGACGGGACTATTCCTTCTTTTCGTGTTTCATAAATACCTGCATATCGTTTAGTAGAAATAAATGCTGTGAAAAGGTTTCCTTCCTTCCTTTCTTCAAGTTCATATGGGATATATGATGTTAAATCATTTAAGTACCTAACTTAATTTTTTACAGAAAATCTTTGCAATCTCTTCATATCCACTACTTCATATACATTAAATGACTCATCACTCAATGCACATTGAGTAGCATTCTAGTGAGCCATGGTACTACTTAATCAGGACTCAAATTAAATCTCATTCTTTTTGTCCTCAGGTATTCTGTTCAGAGCTACCAATATTTATACGAGAACACCATTCAGGGATGTATCGAGCAGACGTGTACTTCTTGTCTAAAACGTTGGCAGAAGCGCCCGTGTTTGCGACGATACCTCTAGTGTTCACCACCATAGCGTATTACATGATAGGACTCAACCCGGAACCGAAGCGGTTCTTCATCGCTTCTGGACTAGCTGCCCTCATCACCAATGTTGCTACTTCATTTGGTAAGTTTTTTTTATTCTTATTTTTATGGTGCCACTTCATTCTAGAAGGTTGGCTTCCTTTTTGAATTGTTCTTTGTCATTGGCCGCTGATGGAGCTGATACCTGTTCAATCCCGAATATTGCGCAGCCAGGACTGTTTCCTTGGCCTAGCGCTTCATTTCCCTTTCCACCTTACCCATCATTATAAGATGAAGCACCATGTATCTGTCATATCTCAGTACGGGACCGAGATATTATTATCGTTTTTATACGCTTTTTACCAATAGATGATGTGAATCCTGAGCAAGGCTTTTTTAAACTACAGCTTCCGTATATCATGTGTCAAGTTTTTGATGTCATATTGGCATACTTAGAGGTAGTTAAAAATTAAACAGGACTTTAATAAAAAAAATTTAGGACATCCGGTAGATAATTAGTATTTTCATCATTGATCATATTCTAGGTTTACGCGAGAAAATGTCTAATTCCCTTAAAAGATCATTGAATTATTTTTCACAATATGTTAACTGGAATTTAATTGGTCCAAACGATTTTGTACAACATAGGAACTTGTACCACTCGTTGGAAGACCCTATTCTGTTAACGACGATAATTTTTATACGACGTCATAATGTAAGAACTACTCTATGATCTAACACAATAAAGTTCATTCTTCCCGTAAGAAATAATTCAGCCTCAAAAATAATAACATTTTGTTCACATGACTCAACAAAAACTGACTCTAAAAACAGTTGTCCAATTATAGTAGACACAAGGTTAAAATACAAACTAAACAACTATTTGTATAATATTGTGCAACAATTTTATCAAAGAAACATTTCTAGGCTCTAATAGTTTTTTAATCATATTGATATACGCTACCGTTACCATAATATGACCCAATGATAGTCATCTTTAATGGCCATTTCATCATTATTTGTTTATTAATAAACAAACCCTATTACCGATTTTCGATGTTTTGATTAATTTATGCTCTTTAATGTTTCAAATGTTGAATGTAATACTTAGTTTATGGTCATGACTAAAGCAGTACAGATATTTTAGACTAATGGGGAAGACGACTAATTTTTTTTTTAATGTCCGTCTGGTAGATTATTTAAAAACATTAGACACGTATTTTTTATTTTCTTACGGAAACGAATAGTTTCGAAGATATATTGTATTGAAATGTCGCGTGACGTCACTTCTCAGTACATTTTATACTAAGAAATGACGTTTTAGCCCCCACTCCTAAACTTTGATTCGTTTTATCTAAGTAATGTTTTATTATACAACAAAATAAAAAAATACGTGTCTAATATTTTTTTATTACCTAAGTTACGGACTAATTATATTTTTAATTTTCATACCCTGTCATCTTCCCCATTTCTTTGTAGCACTTTGTAGACTGCCTCGTGTTGGCCGAGTGGGCACAAGGTCTTGGGTTCGATTCCCGGGTCGGGCAAAGTATTACTGGGTTTTAACTCTCAGTAGTAGTACGGAGTCTGGTACAGAGCCCGGTATATGGCAATAGGGTCACCCCCTATTACATGGGACTCATAACATAAATAGTGAAAAGTGGGTGTTCCATTGTACAGTGGCATAATGTGCACCTCTGCCTACGCCTTCGGGGATAAAAGACGTGATGTTATGTTATGTCCTTTGTAGCATCCTGATTCAAAGGACACATCACTTGAATGTTGAGTAATTCTGAAGTCCGCCAAAAGTCATTGGGACATGCCCAATGACTTACTGGTCGTAATCGACCAGTTTAATAACTGAAGTTACAAAGTTTAGATTCACTGCTATTAAATTTAGACCGATTTAGAACATAAAATCCAAGTCTACGGCAAACAATCTCAAAAACTTCCATCTTCATAGGCGACTTACCTATCAGTAATCTGCCAATCATAAAGTTTCTATCCACAAAACTTACCACATGGCCATAACGTTTTCAAAGATCCAAAACGAGTTTGACATTGCGCAACGATTACAGAGTGGAAGCTTCCTAAAGAATGTAGTTTTATCTTGAACCTTATTTATTTGTACTTGGCTTTTCAAGTTGTTTAGGTGCCATATGATTGGGCAGATGGCGCTTGTTTCGTTTTGAGCTTGTCACAGATTTGGGTCATGATTAATTGTGGGAGAAGGATGATGGATAGGTTACTTTTGTTTTAGTTAAACAATGCTTTTTATGTCTTTTTGGTTGAGTTGCAACTGACTGAGAGGGAGGTTTGGGTTTTATTTCCGGATCAAACAAAGTTTGATTCTGTTGGCTCTCGAGGTTTTGATTTTGTCAGTTCAGTAATATAGTACAGAGTCTGGAAATATGCCCACTGATGGCTGTGATAGTAGTTTACTATATTCTTACACACATCTAACCACCATTATATTGGAAAGTTGTAATATTGTGTTATTTAAATATGTAATTGTAGTACTAAGTATTGTTAAGAGAAAGGGATGTAATAGAGATTGCACTATCACATTTCCTAAACTTTGGCGGTATTTTATGTTTATGTTTTAGTTGAATGCTTCATTGATTTTGTGGTTACTAGCGTGTGAACTGTTGGGCACGAGCTCGTCTTTCTTTGTTGGAGGGAAAGGGATAACTTCATCTAATTTTTATCTTGCTACTAACGGTAAGCTGTGACCTTAAAAGTACATCGGAAATGTGACTTTAGATCACTAAAGTAGGAACGTAATTGAGTAAGATTATAACTATTATATTCAATAGGCTACAAAATGTTAAATGATGTTCGATGTGGAAATAAAATCCATAAACCACACACAATCATCAACTACACAACGTACCACAAACATCTAATAGTTTTCACACAATATTTCCCCGATCGATATGAAATATAATCGGATATGAATTTCTCCAGACCGCAGCATCTCAAGTATCGTGCGATATAAAGTGTCTCATATCACACAACACAGTTAGGCGGTTTTCTATTATTTACATAAACATGTTGGAATGAGGTGAAGGCCCTTTTAACGTATCATTTGATATGCCAACAGGAAATCGAATGGCATTTATGAATATGTTTAGCTTTGTGTGGAGTTCAGCTTAGTAACAGCTGCATCTATAGGTCAAGCTTGTAGAGGTAGATATGGCTAGTCGACGTGGATAATCTTGATATTTAAATAAACTATGTGTGCAAAGTGAAGTTCTTAGAGATGGACCCTTAATTATATTGAATTTAGTAACTGATATTTTTTTAAAGACTGCCTCGTTGGCCGAGTGGCTCGATTCGGGGTTGGGCAAAGATATGCATGGGTTTAAAAAAAATCTCAGTAGTTAGTAGCACGAAGTCTGGAATTGATTGTTCCCGGTATATGGCTCACCCACTATTACATGGGACTCATAACATAAATCGTGAAAAGTGGGTGTTATATTGTACCTACAGTGGCATAATGTGCACCTCTACCTTCGGTGATGTTATGTTATTTTTTTAAAGGGCTCTTTTTTACAACGATTATTAAGAACTTGTAATATACCTCTAGTTAATAATGTTTTTCATTAGCTTTTCTTTGGTTCATTTGTCCATAAATATGTCTGTAAACAACTTCATCAGAGTTCTTTGAAAATCTTTGGTTTTATTAGCAGTTAAATTCTTGATTAACTTAACTCACGTGTTAGATGTTAATGATGGGCTGTGACGAAACTTTGTTAAAACTTGTTTCTTAACAAAATTTGATTCTTAATTGTTTTATTGAATGAAAATAGGTATCGTTGGTCGTATGAATCGAAACTTTCCATGCTTTTAAATTTTTGAATATGTAATTGAGAATCAATTCGAGTTTTGGGAATCGTTTCGCCAACTGATAATGTTTAGACCAAGGCTTTTTAGGTATTTCAATATGTTGAACATAGGTCAGGTCAGGTCAAAAGTGTCTTAAAACATAACGGCACACCTTCATATCTACGTAAAACCTAACATTTCTCGTTTAACTTACTTTGGCTCTTAAACTGTCAAACACCAAGCGGTCACCGGTGACCGCAGCCTATTGTTCTATAATTGTGTCTATAATGACGGTACTCGATGAGTTAAATGAGGTAGAAGCGTCTATAGGAGCTCTTTATCCACATCAATAAGGCTAAACATTACTAGGGGCGCTTTAGCTAACTTCAGCTGTACCTGTATTGTGTTAACGTCTAGTTTTGTTCCCCAGGCTACCTAATATCGTGTGCCAGCAACAGTGTCAGCATGGCTGCATCAGTGGGACCTCCCATCATCATTCCCTTCATGCTGTTCGGAGGTTTCTTCTTGAACACTGGGTAAGTAACTTTTGATCTAAGGAGTTTTTATATTCCTTGAAGTTCTTTAGTGATGAATGAGTTTTAGTTAAAAACCTTTTCTTATAATTATCAGAAAACTGCACAAATTTTAAACAGAATTTTCTTATTTATATCCGAATTGATTTCAAGCCTTGTCTTTTATTTGGTCATCATGGTGTTAATCGTACAACACCATTTGTAAAACCTCTGGTGTTGTTGATTGCTTACCATCAGGTGACTCGGTAGCTGTCCTATTCCATAAAATATAACGCACATTATTTGATCCGAAATTAAATCTTGTTTTCTCTCGTTAGTTCTGTACCACCATACCTGGGCTGGATATCGTACCTATCTTGGTTCCACTACGGCAACGAGGCTCTGTTGGTGAACCAGTGGTCCGGCGTGGAGACCATCGCCTGCACCAGGGAGAACTTCACCTGTCCTGCATCTGGACAGGTCGTGTTGGATACTCTTAGTTTCTCTGAGGTAAGGACATTATTTTTATATGGTTTAGGAGTTTCTTATACGTTTTCTCTTTCTAGGTATGTTTTTAGCCATGATATTTTTGCAGAAAGTAACGTTGTAGATGACACTGGTTTCGATGCTAGCTATAAATAAGAAATGGGTATTATTATCATGCAAAGAGAAACAAAAATAGATTTTTTAATATTTTTGGTTCAATGCCTTTAAGTTTCAAGTAAAAAGGTTGCTTAGGTTTTGGTAGGCGTGGTCCATTAATAGCCTACTACAAGGCAATAGTTTAGAAACAAATGCCGCAAAGGTATGTGTAGAAAACGTTTGGTGAATTCGTATTAAGAATAATTTTTCTATTAATTATAACACCAATCAACTTTAAACCTTTAAACTCAAATTAATCTTAATATGTATAGACCAGATACTGAAATTTTAATAAACTAATTTATTTTTTCTCCACAGGACGACTTCTCAATGGACGTGATCAACATGGTACTCCTGTTCATAGGGTTCCGATTCCTCGCCTACCTCGCTTTATTATATAGAGCACGTAGGGCCAAGTAAATAATAATATATCCAAATACATAGACATATTAATTAAATTATACCTTCGTAATAAATCAATGGGAAATACAAAATGTTTATTTTTTACATTCCATCTGATAGCTAAATGTATTTTTTCTAGCAAGCAACATTCTTCGATTCGTTAATTTGAAAGTTTGAAGTGTGACGTCACTTTTGTGTTTACAAGGTAGTGACGTAATGAGACATATCGTGCGCTCTTAATTTTCTAAAATTAATTCTTCTTTTATTAATCGTTATTTTATGTATTTGACTGCCAATTTCTATAACATATCTCAATCCACAATGTGTGGATTAAGATCGATTTTTGACAGATATTCCGTACAACTACTGTGAATAATCGGCCAATATCGACAGATTTTGGATTAAGATAGTTTATTGAATTTGGCAGTTAGTCGATCAAGAAATACATGTGTATATAATAATCTAATCTTTAAACTATCTGTTTGATGAATTAAGTAATAAGGTATATATTGTTTCCCACCCCCTTTCGTCTCCAATCAGGTCATGCATCATTATTACTTAAAACTTTATTTATGGATTTACACATGTTCTAAAATACTATGCTAAAAGGTATTCTATTCAACACGTTTAACACCTTGAACGCCATGGGGGACAAGGTATGAGCCACGATAGCGGAGGATTTACCCTCAACAGTTTTCTGTTGGCAGTCAAACTGTAAAGAATGTTCAAACGTACTTACGCCTGTTGATTGGCAAGTATGCCTGAAATAAGCATGCTGATTTTTAGCACCATTCCGACACACATGCTACTAAGTGACAAGTTCTCAATGGGGGTTTATTGCTAACTAGATGGTGCAAATATAGGATGAGGTATTTGTATACAATCACAACAGCTGTCAAATATTGAAACTCTAATGGTAACGACACTAGCTAATACCTTATTGGACGAAGAACGAGAGGTTCACTGGCGCTATCTTGTAAGCAAAAATATGGTAGGCTCCATTGAAAAATGCTTTCGTATTTGAAATTAGCATGTCTTAACAGTAACTTTACGTTAAATATGTGAGTAAAAAACATCTGATTATGTTATTGAGAAATTGCATTAATTTAAAAGCTGTAAGTTTATGTGAAGCTTTCTACAATGTTATTTTTCTTGTGTTGATTTGTAATTAAATAATTTTAAGAATAATAAAGTATATATGTAGTTAAAGAAAACATGCTCTTAATTGAATTGAAAGTAATGAATTTTCTTCGTGTTGATTTATTTACATACTGTTAATTATGGTAAGCTTTTGACCAATTGAAATATGTTTTAAAATTGGCCAATTTAATGAAATCAGTTCATTTGCCATATGCCATAAATAGTATGTTGTTTTTTTTTGTAATGTCGCCAATTTATAGTTAAGAATACAATGTAATTTTTTATATAAGCATTTTATGAAATTATGTGTTGTATTGATATATGAATAATGAAAACGATTAACTTTCCATTATTAAACTAATTCTACCTCATGAAATAGATTTAAATTCAGTACCAAGACGCACACTAAACATAAAATATTATTATCTTCCTGAAACTTATACCTGAAAACTTGGTTGCTCCAAGGAAATATTTTTTAAATAGGTTTACAATATTTCTGAACTTTATTTTCATGAAATCAACTATGGTAGGATTATCTTGATTTTTGTGTCAAAGTTTTGTTTATCTAGTTTGTAAAACTGTATTTAAAATAAAATATTTTTAAAGAAAAATGAGAATTTTCAATTACCTAATAATCTCCTGCCTTAACTAATTATTTAGTGGTATATAATACTTTGCGTTCTTACTTCTTACTAATCTATGCTTATGCATTGCTACGTGCACGTTACGTACGTGCAAATACATACAAAATAAATAATCTCGACTACAATTTAATTTTGCTTCTCTATACATTAGACAATCTCTGGATATTAGTATAATGTGGATGGATGGTGATTTCAACTGTCATTTTGTCGCTAGATGGCGCAACATCCACAACTTAGAACATTTTCAATTTTACGCCTAACTTAGAAATACTTAATAGATAATTTTAGTACGCGAAACCTAGCGCATTAACTTGATTTTTTTAAATAGTCAATGTGCTTGTTAACTGGTCTCATACAAAGATTACTACATAATAAAGATGTCGCAAAGCTTGACTTTAACTCTTTACACACATGCAAAGTAAAAAGTAGTAACTTTCGACACCACTAGATGTCGTTTTATTTAAATAGTTGAAAAATAAAACAAGCGGGACAACAGAAGGCTTATTGCTTTACGCCTAAAGTTAACGAAACGAGTACGCGTTCGGCATTGTGATTGGCTGGCGCCACTGAACCAGCCAATCAGAGCGCCCAACGCGGTCCTGTTTCAATTACTTTAAACTGTCAAACACCAAGCGGTCACCGGTGACCGCAACCTATTGTTCTATAATTGTGTCTACAAAACCGGTACTCGACGAGTTAAACGTACAACAAACTCATACTAAGGTCTCAGTCCTATTTTAGATAAATCAGAAGATGATATGAAAGACTGTATCTACAGTCTTTGGTATTGTATAGTGCCTATAATTGTATTGTATAGTGGAGAACAGAAGCAAGTGAAATAAATTACAGGCAAATCATAAACATAGTAAGCAGTAAGTACCTCCTTTGTATAAAGGCAGAAACCTTTAAAAGTCATCTATCTTTTGGGGAGAAAGACCAGGGAATGCGTCCTCCCAGTGGCCACCATCAGCACCTAAAAGGAAAGCTGTGTCCTCAAAATCTCAATAGACTAACCCGAAGCCCCCACGGTGCAACGCCTATTATGACACGTTCCTAAGGTGATCTGAATCTTCCTTGAGCCATCTGTGCCGTCATTTTCCCTAAAGTCACTGGGTGGACGGTTAGAGACCCCACTCAATGTGCCCGTGACCCTAAGCATAAGTAAGTACCATAAACCTGATAATTCTAAAAGTACTATGTTACGAAGGGTTGGTCAAATGGTTACAATTTTAGAAACTACTACGAAGGGTTCTGTCGAATTACCAGCGCAATTGATGACTGACCGGTTCTGAATCTGACAAAGTATTAGGATCCTTTTTTTTCTTTCGCGATGGAAATCCTCATGGACTTCCCACGTCGTGGGGACGACGGGGTGTGTGCCGGACTCTTACCGGTTAAAACCACCGCGATGTTCCTTCACTGCCTGTGACCGTAACCCAGGTTGCCCTTACGGAATCACCACACCCGGCAGGCCTCGACCTCCCGCTATGTTTGCGGCTAGTCCTGCCACCTTAGCGGCCCTAGGAGGCTGCTTCCCTTCTTCGAGAAGCGCGCGTGGAACACTACGCTAACGCCTACTCCCTCCTATATAGCGGACGTCTGACTCCCCCGGTCAGTCGCCCGCAGGCCTCTCCTATGGAAAAGTTTTCTGCCTGCACTTTAGGGAAGACAGGCGTACCTACCTCATAGTTTTATATTGTAATTTATTATTATAAATTCAATCTACGCACAATTTCCGTCAATTTGTCTATTTACAGTCATTTTACGGCTTTGAGTTTGACTTTATCTTCCATCTCCACCTTTATTGAATTTATTGCTAAGCAGAATATCACGTAATTTGCATATAAGGCGCCTTGATTGTATATATGTATTTTTTATTTATTAACGACCGTGCGTATATTGGTCCAAGGTCAGAAGGGTCTATGTTGCAAGATTTATAGTACCTACGGGTGCCTAAAGGAAGTGATGAATTGTCGTCAATTCGAAAGATCTATTTGGACGTGATTTTAATAAATGATTCGACTATGATCCTTTTCCTTTACGATAAGTGACATGTTGTTAGGAAGATAGTCGGTTGCTATGTCGAAATTTCTTTTTGTGATGCCGACAGAAAGCGTGTGAGAAGCAATGATGTGATTGGTAAACACCAACGTCGACATACAAGAAGGAACATGTGTATAGTAAAGTCTTTTCTTTAGGTAAGTCACTGATTTAGGCAGTTTGATTTCAAACATAAGTGTGATAGAATGCTAGACTGTTAGAATTTGCCCTACTTGGCGATATATACTCAACCAATACCGAAATCGTCCGAAATGTTACACGTGCCAATAAATGATCAGATGATGAGTCATTATCTGAATACATACTACCTACAGCCTGCTATTCTAGCATAATAAGTATAGGTAATAAATGTCAGCCTGTAGGTATTACTTATATTAATTTTACTTCTGTTTCCAAACCAACTGGATCTGAAACTCCTTTGGGGAGGCTGATGTTAAACAGTGGACGTCTTGTGACTTATACCTAAATATTATGATGATGATGATAGCCTATTTCACCAGAGCCAGTGTGCTGTGTTTAAGGTTCTGTTAATAACATAAGATTTTTAATAATTTACTTAAATAACATAATATAGAACTTAAAATCTTTTTATTTCTTTTTACTCTTTGGCAACCGAGTCTCCGAAGTTGTTGACAGCCAGTGTCGAGTGGTGTCTCTCGTCAAGTACCGTCAATATAGACACAATTAAAGAACAATAGGTTGCGGTCACCGGTGACCGCTTGGTGTTTGACAGTTTAATGAACCGTCGAACTTAACTTTACTTTGCGTTAGCTTTTAGTTGTTACTTGTGAAGCTGAAAGGACAACTTAAAATTAACTAAAAGTAAAACAGGGAATAAAAAAAAGAAAATCTCTTTTTTGTTTTTCTTCTTTGGCATTTGAGTTTCCACTATTTAGTAGCTGACTATTCTGCCAGCGTCAAGAAAATCTCTTAATTGACACATATTTTGACAGTTGACACTTTCTATAACTATAATATTTATCTACTAGCTTGGCAGTATAGTCGACAAGATCGTTTTGGAGACTCGTTTGCCAAAGAAGAGAGAAAAAAAAATCTACTAGCTGTTGCATGTGACTTTGCCCGCATAGAACATGAATTTTAGAACATATCTTTCTTATGTTTCAGCTTTCCAAAATGAAAGTAGCCTATGTTGCTCCTTAATACATCAGCTACCTGTCAATAAAAGTCTTGCAAAATTGGCCCAGCCATACCAAAGATTAGCCAGTGCCTACAAACAAACAGAAAAATAAAGTAGTAGGGAGTTAAAAAAAAAGTTAAGCAAATTTTTCCTTCTTATGGGATCGGGGGTTTTTTGAATATGGAATTACTTATGTAATGCTGTAGTGGGAGAGCCATGCTTCGGCACGAATGGGCCGGCTCGACCGGGGTGATACCACGGCCTCACAGGAAACCAACGTGAAGCAACGCTTGCGTTGTGATTCGTCGCGTGAGTGAGGTTACCGGAAGCCCAATTACCTTCCCCTTCCCCAATCTCCCCAATCCCTGAATCCCCAACGATCCTCAAACTCCTAATCCCCATAAAGCCGGTGACGCACTTGTAACGCCTCTGGTGTTCCAGGTGTCCATGGGCGACGCCGATTGCTTACTATCAGGTGATCCGTCAGCTCGTTTACCGGCTTATGCCATAAAAAAAATGTAAATACGAAATTTATTTCGGAAATGATCATTTTATCTGCGTATAAGATAAATATAGAAACTATTTCGGCATACATTTATAAACAAAAATACCTCGCGTGGGCTTCTACGGAAAGCTATGCAATTTTGAAAGACTATATGTAATTTTATATCGTTTAGAATTAAATAATAATCACATTATACTACCTACTTGTTATATTAATTCATAATTCTGTGACCAAACTACATTTTTGTGATCTCGTTTCCATAGAAATGCTACATTAGTATAAAATTGACCTTGTCTGCTTGTCAATCGTAACCTTACCTTTATCGTATCTCTTTCAGGCGATTCATTTTGATCCTAAATTACGATATTAGATAACTCATTAAATTGCTTTTTTGTATAGGATTATATTCTTTAATTTTAACGATAAGACGTTTCCTAATTACCTAAACTGTCAAACACCAAGCGGTCACCGGTGACCTCAACCTATTGTTCTATAATTGTGTCTACAAAACCGGTACTCGACGAGTTAAGGTTTAAAACTATTTATCTCAAATTATCTATAAAAGTATTATAGATCTAGTCTTACGAGGATAAACACGTTTGTTAGAATTACTAATTCTGTCTATTCGCCTGTCATCAAGCTGTCTCATCTCATGATCTAATGATAAAAACAAACATGTTGTAGACAGCTGACATACAACAACCATAATTTTCAACCGACTTATAAAAAGGACGAATTCGATTTGAGTTTGAATAGATAATGGTACTACTTAACGTACAGAACCCTTGGCCGGAGTTTTTTGATTGTATTTGTACCTATTCAGCTTGACGTTTCGACAAATCGACAGATCTATTTGTGTGTGATTTGAACAAATGAGTCTTATTATGACCCATATCCTTTATCATGAATGATATGTCGTAAGAAACATGCTCTCCCACCCTGATTCTTATTATTCGAAGAGTATTTGTTCTCTACTAGCAGGCAAGAACAGCAAATGTTCCACAGCTGGACTTCGTTCCTCCATCACATTAGCAGTTTGGCAGAGAATACTCTGCGCTCTGCAACGAGGTTGGACATAGCGGTTTAAAAGGTTCAGGTTTTCTCAGAGACCATAGCTTCCCGGTTTCCGGTACTTATACGAAGAGAAAGAGTAGTGACTCCTGTCACCGTAATTAGAATATGACACATTTACCGATGAAACTGTCACACACCCAGCGGTCACCGGTGACCGCAACCTATTGTTCTTTAATTGTG